GAGACCTGAGGTACATGCAGTGTGGGTTTTCTTGAAACCCTGAACCGGACCAGAATTCCAGTATTGCCCTGGACCTTGGAGATTGATGGGCAAAAGCGGAATGTTACACCTGGCCCCTAGACTCGATTATGATACTACACTAGGTGTTGAATTGGGTTGTCTTTGATATGCCAAACAGTGAGATCCTTAAAGGGGGTCAAAACCTAGGTATGTTGGGACAGTCTAAGAATTCATTTGAGTGGGTGATCATAGTGACAGGATCAACCCCTTTGTCGAACAAAGTGAATGATCGAGGATGCACTCTCTCTGATGGAAACCAAAGTTGCTGAAAGCCGATTTCAATCGTTGAAATTTGTTTTTGCAAAATATATTTATATAAAGATCTTACAAATATATTATGGTTTCAAAATGTTTGCAAAAGGTTTTAATTCTCGGAATCCATGTGAGTAGAGAGTGCAACATTGTTCCTTGCAGTCGAGGGAGAGGTCCTCTTTTGTCGAGCAGTGTTTGATCATTATGGACTGAGAGGTTAAGTGTAAGACCATTGAGGGTAATACCTGATGGGCTAATCTTGCATCTGCCCACAGTCCTTGGATTTTTATAAGGTGGTTTGACCCAAGGACCATTTAGTGTAAATGTTGGGCCCATTAAGAGCCTATGGTGATGGACTCAGGGATTCACTATTTCCTACAGTGAATTCATCCAGGCCTTGTAACAGAGGCTGGGCTGAACCCATGTGGCTGATGTGTAGATCAATGTTTGGGTCCCACGTCATACAAGGATACCCAACTGGGCAGCAATTTGGAGGATAAGTGAGCACATGGACTTAATAGCCCTAAAGCCCAATTCGAACTTGTTTAATATGATTAATTAAAGAGGGGCGGTTCTGGGATTTAGATCAATAGATAAGATAAGGGATTGTCCCTATCCACTCAGAGAGTCCAGATCCAAATAGAGATTTGGATCAGGAAACTCCTAATTAGATTAGGAGGGCTGATCTTTATCTATAGATAAGATAAGGGGTTATCCTTATCTTTTAAAGAGAGTCCATATCCAAATACAAGATTTGGATTACGAAACTCCTAATGGGATTAGGAGAACCTCTCTTTAAGGCTACAAATAGAGGAGAAGGGCAAACCCCAATTCACCCCAATCAGATTACTGATACAAGAGAGA